GGTCGACGTCTTTTTTCTTTTTTTTTTTTTTTTTGTTCGCCATATAGCATGTTCTCGAATTATTTGTCAAACGTTTACTGCAATAATTCGTTCTTTAACCAACTTTTCTTTTTTTTTTTTTTTTTTTGTTTACTTTACTTTTAACCTGTACTAAAACTGTGTGGATTAAGGAGGTTGTGGAAGTTCGTATACATGATTTTTTTATGTCATCTGGTACACAAACATTTCTACACCTAAACGCGGTTGATTTAATATTTGTCAACATAATAATGTATGCAGTGCGTTTAATTGCAACCATAAAACAACACCTAGGTTTAATTCGTTATTACATACGTACCACAAATGGCTTTTGTACGGCAAACACGACGTCATATCTTATAGATACTGTAACCCAGCAGCATACAAAATGTCACATCCATCCAATAATTACGTTATTAGACAGTACAAATAACGCGTTGGGATGGCAAACAGTGAACGAGATAACACTGCGGGTGCGTGTGACGTGGTGTATGGAGTATTTCACTCTGGTTAGTTATCAATTGGTAAGTTTGGTTTGATCAAAAAAAAAAAACAAACATCAAAAGGTATAAGGCAAAACGTGTGTACCAGTGTTGTTAAAAAATCTGTTTCTTTTTAGTTTTTTTTTTCGACGTATATGACAGATACATGGGTACCTTGACGATGAAAGGATCAGTGCCAGAGTCCATAGTGACGTTGACGCGAGAAGCACCTAAAAAGCACATTTCGTATGGTTAAAAAATTAATACGAACCAAGTCATTGTATTATTGACATATTTAATACGCTCACATTGCGTCTGATAATTTCTCCTGACAATAGGCTGTTGATTAATTAGAGTGTGAAACTATAAATATAATGTTGAAGTTTCGTTTGGCGTTCCGACCGGTAAATAATAAAATCTTTGTACGGATTAACTCATATTAATTGCACTGGAATAGTGCATTTTATCGATACGATATTTACATCCACAGCAACCTGTGTACGTATTACGCGCGTTAAAGTGTTGGCTAAATGTTGCCCAGTTTGTTTTTAAACTAAATTCGTATTATAAACAACACGTGTATGATACGCCGTATCCAAGTTAGTAAAAACGAATTAAATTAAATCCCGTTCGGCATATTATTGTACGCTGAACATGAACTACAAAATATATCAATTGAATACATAATGAATTAATTGTAGGGCGTAAATAAGATAAGCTAAACGAAATGTTCGTGCATAAAGCCCATTTTAACAAAAACCTTACGCGCGGTGCGGTGCTAAACTTATCAAACGCATAAAAATAGATTAGATTGCCCAACTTACGCGATAAACTCGGGTGGTGCGAGCGAATTGTTCCGTTCAAAATGCGTTTGCCGCACGGTTTGAAATTGAAAATCAAATCGTATATTATTTTCGGTTGCGCGTCTAAGCGAACAGACTTATCAGTGCTGGCCCGATGGTTTTTGGAGTCCGGTGCAGAATTTTGCGGGACCCCATACAAATATATTAATTTATTAATTGTTTATAGAAATCTATGTTTTTTCATATTATTATATAACTAAATATATACTATAACTCAGCAGTTCCCAAACTTTTATTTCCGCGGTGCCTTTTTTTGGACTCAATTTAGCCATGGTGCGCAGCTGTGAATAACATTTAAGACAGAACAAAAAAAAAAAAAAACTTATTGATAATCAATTTTATTAATTTTATAAAAAATTTAACTCAAGTATAAATTAATGCATTTTTAAACTTTTTAAACTTTAAAGTGGTCGCGGTGCCCCTAGGGCACCGCGGTACACAATTTGTGAACCGCTGCTACAACTGTATTTTGAACTATCGTCGACGATAAACAAATTTACAAGTGCATGCGCCTACAATACTTCAAAGCTATGCGTAATTGGTACATCTTAATTTTCATGGACAACAACCCGTTTTCTGAGAAGACCACACGACTACGCGGGTTGCGATTTGCGTACTGGGACTATATTATTTTTATTTACAAATAAAGTAATAATCGTAATATATAATTTGTGGAGCCCCAGGGGCGTATTTAGATATATTTTTTTTTTTTTTGGGAGGGGGGGCTGTGATATTTTCTCTAACTGAAATTCCCCAATTCAGCCTAATAAAAACAAAATTTGGAAAATTATTATACAACATTCACCTATAATAGCGAAAACAAGTAACAACTATACGACGTAAACCGATCACCGTGATAGTGTTATCGGTCGTTGCTGTCACTTCTAGGAAGTTTTTTAGCTCATAAGGGCTCGTATAAATATTGTACAGTGATTAAGACGCCACAACGCGTGTATATCGGTAAATCAATTCTAGGTTAAATAAATCGAAATTACGATAATGCAACAGTACCGTACGTCAAAATTAAACACAATGTACCAAACTCAAAGGTATAATCATTACGATCAAAATCGTCAGACCCTTTACATGAATAACTTGTTCGCTGTTACTTTATACAATTATATTTACGATTTACATCTAATAAGACATAATAAGCAGACTTAATAAACAATTCCTGGATTTCGTGGAGGGAGGCTGAAGCCCCCTCAATCCCCCCATAAATATACCCATGTGGGGCCTCATATAAGCGCGGAGCCCGGTGCGATCGCACCACTTGCTCCCCCCCCCCCTAGGGCCGGCACTGAGACTTATATGCTATTATGTATGCATGTGTATAATATATGTATGTTATATACATCGTATTCGTAAAGATCGTGTATTATATTTCATTTTTCGCAACTGGGTGTAGCTGAAACCTTTTTTTCCTTCTGGGGAGGAATCAAAACCTGGGAAGTCTTCCTTCCCCCCTCCCCCCGAAAATATGCAACTGAGTGCATTTATTACAATAGACAGGGTCAACGTATAGGCGAGAGCCTAACCTGTCTAGAGCGACACTATATTAGGAATGGAATTATTAAAATTGACTCGTTAATTTTTTTATTTCTGTTGGTGTTTTATAAGAAAAATGTTTAAATTAATTCATCCGTGAAAACCATTTATCTATATAATAAAATAATATTGTCTAAAGCAGCGTTTCTCAAACAATGGTCCACGGACCCTTAAGGGTGTATATCGGAGAGGGTTCGCGAATAAAAACTTAAAATGTACAAAGTATCATTATTCATTATTGTTTTTTAATTTTTATTTGTACTAAGGTGTCCGCGATCATTTTTATTATCTCTAAGGGGTCCCACAGAAAAAAGGTTTGGGAAACGCTGGTCTTAGTTTATTACATTACTTTATATTAGCCCTATGTTAGGAATTTTCAATTATTCCAAAAATATGAATAACCACACAATCACTTCCGTGATTTCCGATAGTCCCGATATTGATGGGTTTTGAGTAATAATTATAGAAATCATATTCAAGTCTTGTACATAAATAAAAAAAAAAAAATTAAATATTTTTATATGTATAAAAAATAAGGTGAGAGACTAAGTTAAAATGAGAGCTCGATTTTTTTTTTTTTAGAGGCGGCAAAATTTAATTTTGCCTAGAGCACTACTTTTGCTTGGGCCAACCCTGACAACAATCATATTAATAAATTACAAGTACTTATAACCGACTTGTTAGATTTAGAGGTAATCGTACGTTTTCGCAAATCTACATCTATTTTTGATTCTTTTAAGCTACATTTCGATAATTTTGGATTTCAAATGTTATCAGCAGACCCGTATTTAGGGGGGCATGAGTAGGCACATACTCTGGGAATAGGTGGACATAGGAGGGGTGACTTTTTGGGCCTAGACCCCCCAAATATTTTAATAGCCTCCCCAAAATCGAAACTTTGTTAGAAATGTTATTCGTTGTTTTTATAATTATCTGTTCGTTTTTATAAAAATCGTAAAATAAGAAAAAATACCAACATAAACAATAGCATTAACAATACCAATTACATAGTTTGGCTACTTGCGAAAGAAGTTTTATTGAAATGAAAAAAATAAAAACTTGGCTAAGGACACCGTTGGTTCAAGATTGGTTCAGCGATCTTTCAATACTATTTATTGAAAAAGATATATCGAAAAATATAAAAAGCAATGATATTTTGAATATCTTTGATGATACAAATAGACATTTGTCATTAAAATAAAATATCAATCATTTTTAAATATACGTTATTTAGTGTTTTTTTAATACAATTTAAACATACCTACATTTTTAATATTAATAAGTTTTACTTATGCATGGGAAGGGGATGTGGGGACGAAGCCCCTGCGGGTTATTTTACATTAAATTATTATAGCCCCCAAAAAAAATTCAACCAAATGTCCGCCTATGGCCGAGGATATCAAATCTCAGGGGCGGCAAAATATTTTAGCGAAATTCATTTTAAAAATGATGTACCTACCTAATGAAAAAAAAAAGACCATAAAAAAAAAGGAAAAAGTAAGTTTTATTATGTTATAATTTGTAAATTAAAAAAAAAAAGGAATTGTATGTTTTATTGCGTTATAATTTGTTAATAAAAAAAAAGTATTAAACGATTTTCACTTATAAGTTATATTTTAATATTAAAGAATCTCGATTATGGACAAAATAATAAGTGTTATATTATTAATATTTTTTTTTTTTTTTTTGAGGGGCGGGCATAAATTATACGCCCGGGGGCGCCAAATTTTTAAATACGGGCCTGGTTATCAAATACTAAGAAGTCATATTTTCGTATTAGCGTAGAACTGTCCCTACATCACGTTAACGTTCCTTGGAGTTCGAGGGACTGCAAATATCAATTTTTTAGTGTTCTCCGTTTACGTGTTTACACGATTTTAATACATTCATCGAGTCGAACAATAGAGCACGCGGTTCACCGTTGACAAAGGATTATTGCTCCTCTCTTATTTATTTATCCGTCACCACTTCCCCCCTCCGGGCGTCATTGTATTTCTTCGGTATTTATAATCTCATCGACTGCCGGCGATGCGCCGACCAATGGGAGCGCACCACGAGCCGCTGCTAGTGATAACGCGTTGCCGATAACGTGCGGATCCAGTGGCCGCATCTGCTACCGCCGTCCGTTCGTTTCCCGTCGTCCACCGCCGATCCGTCACTCGTCTGCCCACACTAACCGAAACTAACGGCTGAAGACACGTCACATACCCACAGCGTTTCCGTTTATCCCACGCGCCGGTCGCAGTATGAACGCCGACTGAACGCAGCGGCACAAACGAGAACGCGCGCACGACCACAGTCTTTTGTCCTCCGGTTAGCCACCGGTTTTTCCGACCATCTCTACCTCGTCTCGTTGTCGCAACATGAAACTGTTGTTCTGTAAGTACGGCTCACGCATTACGTCGCGGTCCAGCGACGGTGACAATGATGGTAAAACAATTGTAAACCGATTGTAAACGTTCGTTCTTGCAGGCGTGTTGCTGGCGGCCCTAGCCAAGTGCTCGGTGGCCATTTACCCGTCCAACTCCGACGTCATCGAGCTCACCGACGACAATTTCGACCAAGTGCTCCAGGGCGTAGAGATATGGGTTGTGGAGTTCTATGCACCGTGGTGTGGACATTGTCAGAGGCTCGTGCCCGAATACACGAAAGCCGCCAAAGCGCTCAAGGTAAGTGTATATAAGCGCCATACTCCGTTCGCGGCTCGTTAACGAAACGTGCACCTTTTTTTTCAGGGCATTGTTAAAGTAGCCGCCATCGATGCTGACAAGTATCCATCTTATGCTGGCCGTTATGGTGTACAAGGTTTTCCAACTGTGAAAATATTTGTTGACAAGAACAAGCCCCAAGACTTCACCGGAGAACGTACTGCTGCTGGCATCACCGATGAGGTCGTGAAAGCAATCAAGAATGTTATTAGTGCTCAACTCCAAGGTGTACCTTATGGATCATCGAAATCATCAAAGAAATCTTCTGATAATGAAGTTGTAGAACTCACCGATTCCAATTTCGATAAACTTGTGCTGAACTCTGATGATATTTGGTTGGTTGAATTCTTTGCCCCGTGGTGTGGACATTGTAAGAATTTAGCTCCTCATTGGACTGCTGCTGCTGCTGAACTTAAGGGAAAGGTATAACAAATTAATCTATAATATTCAAACGTTAAAATCTATATAATCAATTTTGTGTAATCTAGGTTAAACTTGGAGCATTAGATGCGACTGTTCACTCTTCAAAAGCTCAAGAATACAACATCCGTGGTTATCCCACAATTAAATTCTTCCCATCGGGTACAGCTACTTCAAGCGGAGCTGAAGAATACACTGGAGGCAGAACATCTTCAGATATTGTGAACTGGGCATTACAAAAACATCAAGAAAATGTTCCACCACCAGACATTATTGAGGTATGTACTTAAAACAATCAAATTGCTCACCGAACAATAAGTTCTTAATTTAAATTGTACATAAAATAGATTGTAAATGAAGATACATTCAAAGCTGGGTGCTCAGAACATGCTCTGTGCGTGGTCTCTGTATTGCCTCACATTTTAGATTGTCAGGCTGATTGCCGTAATGAATACCTGAAAACATTGCGCTCTTTAGGAGAAAAATTCAAACAAAAACTTTGGGGGTAATTATAATTTTGTTTATTCATTCTTTCCTTATTCCATTCCAGTTATTTCTATAATACTTTTCTTATTGTAATTATTTTAGATACTTTTATTCTTCTTTTTATTATTATTTTTCCTTCCATCAATGTTTCATTAGATATAGATTTATTAATAAAATAATCACCATTTAGATGGCTGTGGGCTGAAGCCGGCAAACAATCTGAACTGGAATCGACATTAGAAATTGGTGGTTTTGGATACCCTGCCTTGGCTGTTCTGAATGTTAAAAAAATGAAATATTCCATATTGAGGGGGTCTTTTTCAGAAGATGGAATTAAAGAATTCTTAAGGTACATGATTGTTTTTAAATTATTCGATTAAGGCTATTAAGTAATCGAATAATTTTAAAATAAATGTAATAATAAATACCTTTGTGTGTTTATCTACAGAGATTTATCTTACGGCCGTGGTACAACTGCTCCGGTAAAGGGTGCTACCTTACCTGAAATTCAAACAACTGAACCTTGGGATGGTAAAGATGGTGAACTGCCAGCTGCAGAGGATATTGATTTATCCGATGTTGACCTTGATGAACTTCCTAAAGAAGAATTATAATTAGATCCCTGGTCTCCATGTTTTCTTTTCCATTTTCTACTTTTTTTTTTTTTAAGACTGAACGAGTTCTATAAAATAAAAGCCTAATTTTATTACTAACAGTCATCCTTTTGATTTAAAACTCAACTAACTTTGTAATAAAAAAAACAAAAGTTGATTCGAAAATTTAAAATTACTAGATATTATATAATTATTTACTTAATGATTAAAAATAATTTAATCTATATATTTAATTTATTTGTGTACATTTTTTTTTTATATATATAAAATCGAGTTTAATTTTTGGAGGTCTTTTTATTTTTTAAACTAAAATGTATAATCTATAGAAAAATAATTGTTTAATGACATTGGTTGAAATTAATTATTTGTAGTGATGATTTTCAAACAGTTATTGTAATGTGTATTTCACAGTAATAATGATTGTTGAAATAAATTCTTCGTGGCACATGCATTCATATATTTTAAGTCAATTTGTATGTTATACTGTAGATAACTTGTTGTTTAACTGCAATACATTCAAATCTAAAAATTGTAATTAGTTTCATGATCAAGTTAATACTTACATTTATAGTGTAAAATTGGCTATTGTTGTTATTGTCTAGCCAATAAAAACGATGCAATCTTTTTGTGGAATTTAATATACATTTATGGAAAGTCAAATACTCTACTTATAAGTTTGAGTGTTTCTTTATATATATATTAGTTTATTAAAATTTATTTGGTCAAGTTGTAATATGATGTTATAGTGGCATAATTGATTTGAATAATAGTTATACCTATTATGTTTGATAAAGATAATATGCTGTGACTTCAAAGTCTCGTCGAGTTCAAAAATTTGTATCCAATTTTATGAATGCATATGATTTTCAACTATGGTACAAACTCTACTGTGTCATGTAAGAATATTATCAGATCTGATAGATATGCATAACAAAAAGAGTTATTACAAATATGAACAGGGTTGATCTACATGTCATTTCAAACAACAATCAAAACAATTATAAGTTCACATACACTCAGGTATTTGATCGAATACATCTTAATACTTGATATATAATACTATATGTAAAATATATTTACGTACCAACTGTATGCACAACTGTTAAATTTGCTAACAAACATTCAAAAAAGGAAAAAGTAAAAAGGATTCAACAACATTTTTTGTCGTTTTTAAATACATGCAGTAAAAAATGTAACATTTAATTGTTGTTGGTGACTATATTTCATTTTTAATTAATAATACATTTTTCATTTCAAAAACCAAGTAAAAAATTTAAAAAATATAAGTTTATAATAGAAAAAAAATAAGTTACCAAAATAAGTTTCATGTTTAATTCTGTTAAATGATGGCAGCGATTTGTAAGAAGTAAGCTAAGTATTTATTTGAAATTAGTGTATAAATTTTTATGCTATTTGTTTCATTTTCTAAATTTTAATATACATTTTAGAACTTTTTAAAATTATTTATATAAAAAAAAAAAAAAAAAGAAATATTAAATAATAAAATAATGAAAGATGACCCTAACCTTGGCTATATCAATGATAAATTGAGGTGCTTGAACCACAATGGCAATTATTGGCTGAATTCTAAACAAGGATTTTAGGAAAACCTTTTATAACCTCCTTAATATAACTTCTTAATAAATGTCATGAAAAATATCTATATTTTTTATGGGAATTCAGTGGATAACCTATCACGAACAACACAATTTTTAATAATGAAATAAGCAAAAATATACTAAATAAACTGGTCAAATTAAAAAATATTAATTTATTTCAAATCGAATATTATATAATTAAACTAATATTTATTGTTAGTATTTAAAATAGTAAATTTGACCATATTATAATATATTACTACAAATAAAAAATATATTGATTAATTTATAAAATTAATATTAGTAGTAATATGAATAAAAATCTTGTTACATAGGTATCATATATATAAAAATACAATAATATTTAAATGCATTAGTATAATTTAAAGAACAGTCAAAAGGCAGTGACCAACAGTTGTTCTCTATAAATCTTAATAATATAGTCAGTCATAATTTTTTAAACAAGAACACGTAATGCTTATAAAAATAGGAAACCTTAAGAACATACATATAATTATTTGATAATATTAATCACAATGAATTATTTCAAATTTGAAACCACCACCACTTTGAGATTTTATGGTTTATTTTTAATTGGAGATTTAGAATAGAACATGTTGTCACTATGGTTTGGCAGACATTTGCATGACGTCGTACTTGCGCTCTTTTTTGCATAGAATAGGATAGAACAAAACCCAGTAGTAGACGGCAACAGCGCCAAAAACTATTGTCAACACTATTGCGATGATAACCCAAGCCGAATGGAGTAAAGTATTCTTGCGCTCTGTTTTCGCATCTATTTGCAAATTAAAAAACAAATGTTGATAAGGCACGGACAGCATAATAAACACGATTCATTAATAGCTCTACCAATAACTATTCACTATAATAATTATTGAACTGATTATTATTATACATTACTATAAAGTAATATAATGTAATCAATGTAGTTCTTAATTAATGAACTATGTCATCCCAAACACACCTTTGTGCAGAGGTGGTATCTGTGATTTTTCTGATTGTTCGTCCCTGATCTTTTCTTTATACATACTTCGACTGTCGACATCATTAACAAATGCAACTGTAACAAAAAAAAAAATATATAATTATTTTTAATCGACTTCTAGAATTTTCTAAAAATTAAATGTTTATGCAACAGAAAATTCTCACATCATTGTTTCTTATTCACTCTTAGACATTTACTGTACACCACATTCATATAAAACTCTGCACATCATAAGTAGTTAATAAATATAATTCAACTGAGATATTGTCTCATGATAGTTTTTATTAACTTTTAATAAGAATGTTAAACACTCGATGATCTAGTTTTTAAAGTTTTATGGAACTCTGAGTCGCAATAGACAAGCTTTGGTCACTATTACGTTATTACAGTAATTATTGGTTACCACTAGAATCCAGGCCGGATCGCCTTTGTGAATTCTGCTTTGTTTGTGACCCAACCCGTCCCAACAATGATCCAGGCAACAAGAAAAATGCCCATGTTCGAATTGAACTATACCTGGACCCTATTGAAAAATTTGGAACTCGGCCAGAGTTCGTATGGTCTGTAAACAAAATTGCATAATATATTTTAAAATATTTGTTGCATTGATGAAAACTAAATAAGGGTCTTCAAATTCTTTGGGTTGAAAATAAATTATAAATAAATGTCCATTTATTAAAGGCCTGCTATAAAGCTTTAAGAAAATCAAAAACAATGAATGATGTACTTAATGCAGAACGGTAAAAGAGGTAGGTATGTAATAAGTTTGATATTTGTTACACCTAATAGAATAAAAATCGAGAGAGGATAATTTGAAATTATTTACATAATACACATGGGAAATTTAATTTTTAGAGAAGGTAAAAAGTTCAACATTAAAAAAAGGTCTAGCCTTCAGGAGTAGTGATAATTACAGAAATACAGAAAATTAATAATAAACCACAGTAAATATGGGACTACTGCCTAGACTTGTAGACTAGGGTATGAAAGTAAATAAAAATATACATGAGAGAAAGGAATGGCTTTTTAGGTAATAAAATATAAAGAAAAAGAGTATGTTGTTTAAAATATTTGTTAGTAGAGGATTAGTGCATGCATAATAAAATAATTTTTAATTTTACTATGGTACTTTTAATTGTTAGTAATTTAACTACTAAACGTATTTAGAAAGGCCCCATAATCATTTTGAAAAAATTATATAATAATATACCAAATTACATTAAATATAAAAATAAAATTGTTCTAAAAATCCAAATTATATTACTAAATAATTTTAGTAGATAAAAATATTAATTAGTATCATAAACACTATACATATAAGTATGTGAAAATATAAAAAATATATAAAAATAAAAATATATTTATATACATTCCTATAATTTAAGAAAGAGTCAAAAGGCAGTGACCCAAAGTTGTTGTGTATAGATCTTAATAATATAGTCAGTCATCAGTTTTTAAACAAGGTATGTATGTAAAGTTATCTTCACTGAATATTCAATTATTCATTAGTGTATAGTCTATTTCGTTTAATTTTTTTTTTTTTTAGCTTTTTTTAGTAGAAAACATGTATTTTTTTTAAAGCCGTGATAATAGACGTAGATACTCGATTGTTTTGCATTAATTTTCTATTGCATTAATCTTTTTTATTATTTTAACAAAAATCGATTAATTAATCAACACTGATGATGAAATTAAAATGGTGCAAAGTACAGTTCTCTGTGTTTTGCATGGAAGCATCAATGAAACATACGTTTCTCTCAACTCGAATCATATTATGGATGGGTTGTGATCACTAAAAACTTTTCGATCGGAAGACAAGAAGGGCTAAAACCCGAGAAAAGATTGCAGTCGTCGTCGTTGGAACTCATTTGGTTGTTAATCATTCGTTATTTTCATTCTCTACAGCGTCGTCGTCTTTCCTCTTTCGGTCGTACAATAACTATTAAAACCGTACCACAATGAATCTGTTGTTCTGTGAGTATATTAAAACTATTTTCGGCTCCGCGTGGTACATAATGACTGGATTTTCAAATAATAAGTGTTGTTATCTGGTAATTTTTTTTACAGGTGTTTCAATGATAGTCCTCGTCTGCAAGTGTATGGCTGACACCTTTTACGAATCCGACTCCGGAGTCGTCGAACTCACCGACGACAATTTCAACCGAACTGTACTCGAAACCGACAACGTGTGGTTAGTCAAGTTCTACGCCCCGTGGTGTAGGTATAGTAAGGAGCTTAGGACCGAGTACAGTAAAGCCGCCAAGGCAATGAAGGTATGTTATAGTGATGGCAATCATCGAATGAAATAACTTAATCATTCGACTGTTTAAAAACCGTTCGAGTGATGAAATGATCGAATGAAAATAAATAAAAAATTATTATCAGACTAATTATGAATTGCATAAGCTATAAGAGTCAATATTCAGAACTTAAAGTAAATCTATGTTGATAATATTTTCGATTTAGTAAAATATACAGGTCCACATCTATAATAAATGCAGATGTATTTATATACTTAAATAAATCGAAAACATGTATTAATAATAAGATATCTGATAGATCTGTTCAGGGGCGTAATTAGGGGGGGGGATGGATCCCCCAAAACTTTTTTTTATGTAATTTTTTTTTATTTATTACATTGTGATAATATGATTATTATTATTACGATAACTATTATTACTATTATTATTATTATTATTATTAAAATTGAAATTATTAAAAATTTTGTTCTGGTAAAGTGTGGGGGGTTACTGTATGAGATATACAAATTTTGCTAAAACCTATTATCCCCCCCCCAAACCGAATTCCTAATTACGCCACTGAATCTGTTACCTTCCATACGACCATGAATACCCAAAATTATGTATTAAATTGTCCTATAAATCGTATGCTAAATTCTTTCAATAAAGTTAAAAAATTCGACTTTTGTTTGATCTCCTATGGTCATTGCATATCGATTATTAAATAAATATTATTTTATTGTATTGTATACCTTATATAAATATATATATTGAATCAAAATGCTGTACTTTTACCCTTCGGGTTGTGAATTTAAATAAATATAGATTTTTGATGGCTTTCATTTAGATAGTTTCTGGTTTTAACTTATCATTTATGAATTAAAATAAAATTTTAAAAATAGGTTTACCCATTGCACACTAAAGATTTGGGGCGCATTTAAGTTAAATTAAAATTTGTTTTTTTATATAAAATGAGCGTTAAAATAAAATTCACCAAAGGTAGTTACACGGCACTTGATTTACCCTAATAGCGTAGCTGTTATAAAAAATACTAATTGCACATGCATGCACTAAATGTTCATATAAATATATATTTAAGACGAACCTTAGTTTGTAACAAGTTTAACACAAAATAACTTGAAGGAGGGAAATTAACTTTTTCCAACATTTGTGAAAAGTGAACACCTACCTAGTATGTAAATATTTATAGTTTGCTTGTTATTATTTTAGGGCTTCGCCAATGTAGGAGCCCTCAACACTGACAAGCATAGAATTATTTCTAAGTATTATCACATTAAAGAAGTCCCGACGGTTGTAATATTCATCGATAAAAACAATCCTACTGAATTCTTTGGACAGAGTTCTTCTCCTGCCATCAATATTACCAATGCAGTAATTGAAGCCATTAAATTAAATGTTAGTACTAAACTCAACATTACATCACAAGAATCATCAATACTAGAAAAATCGTCAACATTACACTAAGAATCAATACCAAAAAGGCACTTAAACACTTTATAATTCCTGGTCGATTAAAATTAGTTATTACCGTTATTATGATTAAAGTATGTAAACATACAAAAAATAAAATCTATTGGATTTTTAATATAAATTTTGAAAACTTGTAATTAAATTTAACAATTAAAAATACAATTTACTGTATTGGATATTAACTAAATAAGCTAATAATTAACATAATAAACATAAACATAACAAATGTAATTTTTTTTTTTATATATAATATTAGTAGGTAGTACATTTTTCAACAAAAATAAAAAGGAACTTATTTATGTATAAAATATTATTTCATAAAAAAAATTGCTATTGTTTATAATAAAAGCAATTTAAAATTATTAAAATGTACATTTTATTGTGTTTAATTTGCTTAGAGTATTGTAAATAATCACTATAAAGGTTATGAAATATACAAAAAAAATGCCAAAGAAGTTATTTTTATGTGCTATGATTAAATAAATTGTTATATCAAATATCAATCTTAAATTAGATCACTCTTTGATAGTGAATTCAACCAAATTTATAAGTAGGTAATCAATTTTTAATATAAATTAAATATTGTGTAATTTTTAATTAATCAATAAAAAAATGAAAAAATGTTACACCAATCACTCATAAAATATATTCTTATAATTTATAAATAATTAAGTTAAAATTTAAATGTACATGGACATATTTAAAAATCCATAAGTAGTACCTAGATTAATATTTACATTTTTTTTATTTGGTAGATATTTGATTTAATTTTAGCTAATCATCACACTTTAGGAATGGCTTGCATTTGTTGAGTATAGTTTATACTTAAATAAACCAATATTTCACTAAAAAATTAGTTGAGGGAGTTTTGCCCTGAAGACCACATATAAATGTATCAATTTTATATACTATTTATTTTGCAATTTATATATATTAATAATTTATATGAGTTGTATATTTGATATAAAAAATTGGTAAATTTAATACATTTGATTAAGTACAATTTTAATTTTACCACAGTATAAAATAAATAAAGTTGAATGATTAGAATTTTAAATTTCTTTAAAAGTGTGGATTAATAATATAATATAAAGGAAAAATTGCATAGTTTCATAAAATATCAGGAATAATAATGTTTGTAAATAATATTAAGCATGTCACATACAACTGAACACATTTCTTTCAAATTCCTTTAATGTCTTTTAATGTAATAGTCTGTTTTTAAAAATCTTTTATCAGAGGTTCTATGTGCCCTGAGCCATAGCCGTAAACTTCCCAATTGCCTATTTGATACTGTTATGATACTAGTTTAAAGCATTATGTAAATGATTTGATTGAAATCGATTCCGTATAGAATAATTTGTGAACACTTATCAGTTTCAACTTGCAGAGATATTCAAATGTTGTGATCTACGAAAACAAATAATTATATTTGTACTTACACAGAAGCGTTCCGAAAATAATTGCAGCAGTAAACCACAAATGCCTATCACGTCCAACAACAAACATTTTAATAGCGTGGACGCGTGAGCTCAACAAAACTTGTCGTCGAAAAACGATGGTCTAAAAAAACGACACCGATTGTTAATCTAGTAAAAACAACCGGTCTATTTTGAACGATTCGAATTCGCAATCGAAAACGAGTATTCGTAATTTATTAACGAATCCACAGGTTGGAGGTGATTATTGTGCATGCGCGTGCGTCGTTATTGTTTTGTTTACTTTGTTCGCATTTCTGATCTTACCACGCACAATATGCAGGTAACCAGTTACAGAGTAGTAGATATGTTGATAAGGATGTCAACTGTAAACAACGAAACCGTCTTGGAAGATAATCACCGTCGAGCCGTTCAAACCGAGTATCGTCACCTCATCTTGTTAAATCTCGGTCGATCGTATCGCAACGCGTGACATAGTACTTGCGCCAAAGGGATCTATTGCACAAAATATTTTCCGTTTACAGCAGAACAAAACTATAGGAACGCCAAGTAATAGCTGTGGCTAGGAACGTTACAATACTACCGATATCAATAAAGTATCGATACTTTTCTTTCGATACAAGTACTTTTTTTAACGATAAAATGGTTTCGATACTTTACTCATATAGATAAAAAAAATACTTGTATCGAATGAATAGTATCGAATCATTTACTAACCGCCATATTGTTTCAAAAATCAAAAGTACTCGAATGGTAGGTATCGTACAATCATTATTTTCTAGTAAAATGGTTTGCGCGCGTGGTGGAGGATTTGTTTACATAAATCAGTCATCACACTATAGTCTATAGTCTCTATACGATTATATTATTTCCATGGACCAGAAATCACAGTTCACAATACAATAGCATCAATAGGTTTCCTCTTAATCGGAACGATAATTCATATCGGTCGTTTTTATATTTTACTCTTATCATTATTTTAATTCAATACGACGATAGGACGGAGTAAAATGATCAATACTTTTTTTCGATACTTAATACGCAGCAGGGTCGCGGAAAGAATAAAAAAAAAAGAAAACCTCTTCAAATGAAGACATTAGCAACACAAAGCGTAACAACTTGCTTGTTATGTTTTATGTTTAATTATGTTTTGGATATATTAACGTGAAGCATCAGGATTTTCAAAAAAATTTGAATGAGAAATTGGGCATCCATGTTATGAATAACAAATAAATCACTTTATTGATCCTTCTATTTTCGCACACGCTAAAGAAAAATAGTTTAAAATATTTAAAAATAAATAAATATAAATGACATTCAAGTAAGGGTGAATAGAAACTATTAAATCTACAACAGACCTTAGTATTAGGTTGGTTAATGTTTCTTTTTACAATTAAAATAAATTGTTCTACCTAAATAAAAAATTCTACTTTTAAATAATACTCCGCGACACACGGATTAACAACACTGCGACTTAAAAAACGATGTTGCAGATAATCCATGTCCAATATTACTAGTCTTATTCTATTCACGTTTGTTAAATATTGTCATTCTTACAAATTATATTTTATAATTATTTTAAATTATTTTTTATAATACCTGCCCATTGTATATGTTAATACTAATAAAATAAAAAAATAAATTATAATTTATTTTTCTATAGTTCTCAATATGTAATTGACTTATTAAAACATTGTATTTATTTTCTATATTATATTAAACAGCTGAAATCTAGGAGCCGATTCAGAGTGAAACGAACTTACGATAAAGAAACACATGCTTAGTTACTTCCACAAATACTGGTACGTAGTTTTTCTTTTAAATAACAACTGTAATAATAATTAAATCAATTAATTTTATGTTATTTAGTTACCATTTTATTTTTTTATTTCTAATTCATTACCTTTTTAAATTTACAATATTCAAGTGTTCTTGGTTATGTTAATAATATTTTTCCATTACTTAAATCAATTTTTTACATTCAATATTCATTTAAATTATTAATACTCTAAATTTATCAATTTAATAGCATTAGTAATTTTTTTTATTATTATTATATATATTTTTTTTCGTCTGCATATGTAATCTCTAGACTTCTGGATACCCCATTTCATTTTTTCTTTTATCATTAAAGTATTCTTTTTTTTGTTACAATTTAAAGTATACTGTTTTTAATAATATTTACTTATGTTTCCTTTAGTACATAAATAATGTTTAAAATTACAATGAAATTATATTTCCGTCGGCCTCCAAACACCAGGAAACTATGCCTTTCCAAACGTACTTTTTTTATCGCGATTGAGAAATATTTATAAATATTATTTATTGTTATAAGGCATAATTTTTAATATTTAATCCATATTTCAAATAAAAATATATTGTTGTATTTGTAGATAATTATATTCTAACATGCGCTATAGAATAATAATTTTAGTAAAAATCGTTCTGAAACTTAAATAAGGGTGTAAGGGTGTATAAAATTTTTTTAACTTTAACAGATCTTGGTATTTCATCGGTTAATGTTTTTCATTATTAAAATGAATTGTTGTTAATAAAAAACATACACATTTAAATAATATTTTTTGGCGGCATACGGCGACAGGAGCAACGATGAGATATAATCTATGTCTAATATTACCTGATATTATACATAATCTATGAGGTATAATCTAGGTCCAATATTATTTATCTTGTTCAATTCACGTTTGTTAAATATTGTCATTCTTACAAATCATATTTTTTATAATTCCTGCCCATTGTATATATTAATAGTAAAAAAATAAAATAAAATATTTATTTATTTTTTTTAGTTCTCAAAATGTAATTGATTATTAAAACATTGTATTTATTTCTATATTAAAGTAAACACCCGAAATCTAGAAGCGTGAAACGAACTTACGATAAACAAGCACATACCTACTTAATCCCACAAATACTAGTACGTCGTTTTTCTTTTAAATAACAACTGTAATAATTACAGTATATAAAATTAATTGACTTAATTATAATTATTATAATTAAGTCAATTAATTTTATATTTTTTAGTTACTATTTTATTTTTTTATACGTAATTCGTTCCTTTTTTAAACTTACAATAATTAAGTATTCTTGGTTAAGTAAATATTTTTCCATTACTTAAATCAATTTTTTGCATTCAATATGCATTTAAATCAGCAGTTCTCTAACTGTAGTACGCGTACCATTAATGGTACGCGAAATACTACATGGTGGTAGAACGGAAATTAAAAATTCAATATTTAACTCATATATATGAATTTAAAAACACTAATAAATTTGTATGAATAAATAAATAATAATTTTATTTTAGTATTTTATTGCTTTTTTGTTTAAAATAAATATATTTAACTATGTGACGTTTGTATGGTTCTATTTTTAATCGTTTATAGTACGTGACTAATTGATAATATACTCAAGTGGTACGCGAAAAAAAAAAGTTTGAGAACCGCTGATTTAAATTATTAATACACTAAATTAATCAATTTAATAGTATAAGTTATTTTTTTATTATTATTATTAAATATATTTTTTTATTTTGTCTGCATAATTAGTCTCTAGACTTCTGAATACCTCTTTTCATTTTTTCTTTTGTCATTAATGTATTCATTTTTAGTTGTATTTTAAAGTATGTTTTTAATAATGTTTAAAATTATAATATAAATATTTTCCACGGCCTCCAAGCACCAGGAAACTAAGCCTTTTCAAACGTACTTTTTTTATCACGATTGAGAAATATTTATAAATATTTATTGTTATAATACATAATTTTTAATATTTAATCCATATTTCAAATAACAATATTGTTGTATTCTAACATGTGCTATTGCCTAATATTTTAGTAAAAATCGTTTTGAAACTTAAATGAGAGTATATAAAAACTACTACAACTTTAACACACTTCAGTATTCCATCGGTTAATGTTTTAAAATACATTGTTGTAAATAAAAAACATTCACATTTAAATATTATTTTTTGGTGGCACACCGCGGCAGGAGTAACGCTGAGACAGATAATCTATATCCAATGTTACTCGTATTATTCTATTTATGTTGTAATAGACACTATACGTGCACCTATTTACAATTTATTTATTTACTCGGATTATTGGGAGCCAATTTGTAGTCATACTGACTACAAATAATAGACCAGGAATTGGTGTTATGATAATTCTATAAATTTATTGATATGACATAATTGAAAGAATTTACAATGTTTTAATCATTTTATATAATATTGAGCATAATAAATATTAATGTAATTGTCATTTGACTCAGCAAATATCAACTAAAGAAAACAATAGTAATTTCGCGGAGTAATTATATAATCTTAAAGTCCCATTCGACAGGCGGCGACGGCGCACAGTGGTCTGAAAAGTAAATTTAGCTTACATAAAATTAAATTGTAGTTTTTATTCGTAATAAATGATCATATGTTTTTACTTTTGTGTAGGTAATAATTATTAAATAGATAAATTACCATGTTTTACTAGTTAGGAGACCTATAGACGTCTCGCAAATTTGGTACACTTAAGGACTTCGATTTATTTCTACATATTTAATATTAATATGCTATATTATCGACTTATTAAATCGTAATATTATTTATTATAAAAATTTACCATTCTTCATCATTCTACTTTTATTCTTTAGAATATTATTTAAATAATTATATACAATATTATAGTGTTTAGTAATGAAATGTTAAAAAGAAATATTAAACTTAAATGATTAATATTATAGAAGTTATATTATTATTCCAAATCATCATCAGATTCAGATTTACAAGAATCACTTGCTTGTTCTTCAGGCATTATTATTAAAAGTTTTGCATCGTCTGAAAATGTCTGTAATTTTTTGGGTTGAATGTTTCGCATTGACGATATTAATGGGTCAGATGAAACTAGCAACATGTTAATGAGATCTTCATTAATTTTCACTCTGGATAATTTTCTTGTGTGATGTTCCCTGTAGTTTGGTTTGAAATTTTTGTTTTTGGCATTATTGAGCTTCTTCAGACAATTGGCCTTTCGAAAAAACGAATTTTTTTTATAAATATATATTTTTCATATGATACACACAAATATAATAAATAATAATTAAAAATAGCAACTGGTAAAATTGCATGTCGGATAACATCAGCTCCATGAAATTAAATTGTATGTACAGAT